GGTAAGGAAGAAGGAGGATGGGTGAGAGGAGTTAGGGAGAAGGAGGAGGAGTGGGGGGAGTAAGGGTGAAGGAAGTGGGTTGGGGTGGTGATGTGGCAATACCTACCAATGTCTTGAGCCAGCAACCCTCACAGTGGACATGCCAGCACTGGATTGAGGTAAGTGGTTTGTTATACGTCTCCTGTAGTAAACAATATACAGATGTTAAAAATGTCACTTATCTACATCATAACATACACAGGCCCTGCTCTTAGTGACAGTGTACTAACAACTGATAAGTTTTACCTGGAGGACAACGAATGGAAATGATTTTAAAATATTGACATTCTTACATACATGTCTAATCAATATGTCTTACGGTCTCTTACCCAACATGATTCTAGCAACCAAATAATAATTTTTGATAAATTGAAAAGTTTCACTGCAACCTGCCTTTCAAAACATTTTCTTTGATACGTATGCATAAGAAAATATCTCTGACTCCAGAAATGCTGATCATATAAATTGTTACAACTTGTAGTTGTAAATGACATTTTTGGTTTGACAATCACATAAATCCAAGATGCACACTAGGACAGACACTCACCATACATATGAGACATTTGGGGATCTCTCTCTTTGTCAATTCCTTAGATTTTAACCTTGCTTTGAGGGCTTCAATTACCTCCCCGGCAGAACCCTCTATGTTCATGCTGTAACATGCAAACAAGAATATCGTCAATAGATGGAGTTACCTCCCTCTAACCCTATCTACCACAAGAGCTGCTTCCATTTATAAATAGCTTTACATCAGTACCATAAGTAACTTTATTGAACTACTTTAAAAAATCTTTTATTTCAAAGTCAATTAAATTACAAATCAGATTTATCATGAATATTGATTAAGGCACAATAAAACTGCCATTCAAATATTTCTGCACAAGTCTTCTATTAAGTGATTCAAATTCAATAACTTAACATAATGAAACTGATATCTAGATTATGATTATAATTGATTAGAATCCTACCCGAGGTGGTGTTCAGTGTACCTGTGTGGATGAGGTGGGGAACTACCCGGACTGGAGCTACTGTTGCCTTCCATCTCCATGGACTCTTGAGCACTAGATACTGCAATGGGTACAAACATATCAATCTTAAGAACTGCTTGGCAAGTGAACTTTTCTGAAGTCAAACTAGTTATCTACCTTGTCAATACAGATTGAGGTTAAGATCAGCTAATTACCTATCTTTCCAATACAGATTGTGATTAAGATCCACTAATTATTTCCCTTCACAATACAGATTGAGGTTACAATAAATTAGTTATCTCCCTTGCAAATACAGATTGAGATTTCAATCAACTAATTATCTCCCTTCCAAATACAGATTGAGATTAAGATCAGCTAATTATCTATCTTTCCAATACAGATTGTGATTAAGATCCACTAGTTATCTCCCTTCCTAATACAGATTGAGATTAAAACCCATTAATTATCTCCCTTTTCAATACAGATTGAGATTAGGATCAACTACTTATCTCCCTTTCCAATACAGATTGAGATTAGGATCAACTACTTATCTCCCTTTCAAATAGTAGTGCAATATTCTACTCACCATTGCACTGTGAAGTGGATGGATCACCAGGTGAAATATTTCTGCAAGAGAAAACAACATATTTTATTAAAGAAGACCTATATTGGGCCTGCCATTTCAGTGAAGTACTGTAATCTTAGAACCTTTGTCTTGTTTGATATAGTAACCTTCGTGTATGACTCTATAAACCCATTGACCTGTTGACGTCAGTAAAGGATGACACAAGCTTTCTTAATATCCTCTGTAGTACATCAGGAATGTTACCAGAGGCTAACCGACAGCTTCTGAAAGGGTAGCATGGGACATATCCAAGCAAGCTGTTGCGGCAATACCACACTTTCTTGTGATGCTATTTTCTAGAATTCTTCAAGATGACAAAGCTTGATTGCTTTGATCTCCTTTACAAAGAAATCCTAGGATAGGATGATCTACATGGCTTGTTTTGATGTTTCCTTGTATTACACCAACTGTTCACCAATGATATGAAACCAACGAAAAGTACACAGTGAAAACACCACAGCATGATGTCTATAAGATCTTGTGCTTATCATAAGCAAGATTCCTCTGATAGCCTAACTATACTACCCTACCTTAGTATTAATTTCAAGATTGATTGGAATCCTTTACTCACATTTCCACAACACCCTAAACGTTTTCATGTATTACTTTAGCGAATAATGTCCTCTTGATCCAATCATAAACACACTATCACAATGCCCCTCAAAAGTATTTACCAACTACAGTACAATAGCTTTCATAGCCTCACTATGTATTTACACACTAACATTATCTCACTGCTCCTGGACCCACATATACCAACATTAGCTCACTGCTCCTGGACCCACATATACCAACATTATCTCACTGCTCCTGGACCCACATATACCAACATTAGCTCACTGCTCCTGGACCCACATATACCAACATTAGCTCACTGCTCCTGGACCCACATATACCAACATTAGCTCACTGCTCCTGGACCCACATATACCAACATTAGCTCACTGCTCCTGGACCCACATATACCAACATTAGCTCACTGCTCCTGGACCCACATATACCAACATTAGCTCACTGCTCCTGGACCCACATATACCAACATTAGCTCACTGCTCCTGGACCCACATATACCAACATTAGCTCACTGCTCCTGGACCCACATATACCAACATTAGCTCACTGCTCCTGGACCCACATATACCAACATTAGCTCACTGCTCCTGGACCCACATATACCAACATTAGCTCACTGCTCCTGGACCCACATATACCAACATTAGCTCACTGCTCCTGGACCCACATATACCAACATTAGCTCACTGCTCCTGGACCCACATATACCAACATTAGCTCACTGCTCCTGGACCCACATATACCAACATTAGCTCACTGCTCCTGGACCCACATATACCAACATTAGCTCACTGCTCCTGGACCCACATATACCAACATTAGCTCACTGCTCCTGGACCCACATATACCAACATTAGCTCACTGCTCCTGGACCCACATATACCAACATTAGCTCACTGCTCCTGGACCCACATATACCAACATTAGCTCACTGCTCCTGGACCCACATATACCAACATTAGCTCACTGCTCCTGGACCCACATATACCAACATTAGCTCACTGCTCCTGGACCCACATATACCAACATTAGCTCACTGCTCCTGGACCCACATATACCAACATTAGCTCACTGCTCCTGGACCCACATATACCAACATTAGCTCACTGCTCCTGGACCCACATATACCAACATTAGCTCACTGCTCCTGGACCCACATATACCAACATTAGCTCACTGCTCCTGGACCCACATATACCAACATTAGCTCACTGCTCCTGGACCCACATATACCAACATTAGCTCACTGCTCCTGGACCCACATATACCAACATTAGCTCACTGCTCCTGGACCCACATATACCAACATTAGCTCACTGCTCCTGGACCCACATATACCAACATTAGCTCACTGCTCCTGGACCCACATATACCAACATTAGCTCACTGCTCCTGGACCCACATATACCAACATTAGCTCACTGCTCCTGGACCCACATATACCAACATTAGCTCACTGCTCCTGGACCCACATATACCAACATTAGCTCACTGCTCCTGGACCCACATATACCAACATTAGCTCACTGCTCCTGGACCCACATATACCAACATTAGCTCACTGCTCCTGGACCCACATATACCAACATTAGCTCACTGCTCCTGGACCCACATATACCAACATTAGCTCACTGCTCCTGGACCCACATATACCAACATTAGCTCACTGCTCCTGGACCCACATATACCAACATTAGCTCACTGCTCCTGGACCCACATATACCAACATTAGCTCACTGCTCCTGGACCCACATATACCAACATTAGCTCACTGCTCCTGGACCCACATATACCAACATTAGCTCACTGCTCCTGGACCCACATATACCAACATTAGCTCACTGCTCCTGGACCCACATATACCAACATTAGCTCACTGCTCCTGGACCCACATATACCAACATTAGCTCACTGCTCCTGGACCCACATATACCAACATTAGCTCACTGCTCCTGGACCCACATATACCAACATTAGCTCACTGCTCCTGGACCCACATATACCAACATTAGCTCACTGCTCCTGGACCCACATATACCAACATTAGCTCACTGCTCCTGGACCCACATATACCAACATTAGCTCACTGCTCCTGGACCCACATATACCAACATTAGCTCACTGCTCCTGGACCCACATATACCAACATTAGCTCACTGCTCCTGGACCCACATATACCAACATTAGCTCACTGCTCCTGGACCCACATATACCAACATTAGCTCACTGCTCCTGGACCCACATATACCAACATTAGCTCACTGCTCCTGGACCCACATATACCAACATTAGCTCACTGCTCCTGGACCCACATATACCAACATTAGCTCACTGCTCCTGGACCCACATATACCAACATTAGCTCACTGCTCCTGGACCCACATATACCAACATTAGCTCACTGCTCCTGGACCCACATATACCAACATTAGCTCACTGCTCCTGGACCCACATATACCAACATTAGCTCACTGCTCCTGGACCCACATATACCAACATTAGCTCACTGCTCCTGGACCCACATATACCAACATTAGCTCACTGCTCCTGGACCCACATATACCAACATTAGCTCACTGCTCCTGGACCCACATATACCAACATTAGCTCACTGCTCCTGGACCCACATATACCAACATTAGCTCACTGCTCCTGGACCCACATATACCAACATTAGCTCACTGCTCCTGGACCCACATATACCAACATTAGCTCACTGCTCCTGGACCCACATATACCAACATTAGCTCACTGCTCCTGGACCCACATATACCAACATTAGCTCACTGCTCCTGGACCCACATATACCAACATTAGCTCACTGCTCCTGGACCCACATATACCAACATTAGCTCACTGCTCCTGGACCCACATATACCAACATTAGCTCACTGCTCCTGGACCCACATATACCAACATTAGCTCACTGCTCCTGGACCCACATATACCAACATTAGCTCACTGCTCCTGGACCCACATATACCAACATTAGCTCACTGCTCCTGGACCCACATATACCAACATTAGCTCACTGCTCCTGGACCCACATATACCAACATTAGCTCACTGCTCCTGGACCCACATATACCAACATTAGCTCACTGCTCCTGGACCCACATATACCAACATTAGCTCACTGCTCCTGGACCCACATATACCAACATTAGCTCACTGCTCCTGGACCCACATATACCAACATTAGCTCACTGCTCCTGGACCCACATATACCAACATTAGCTCACTGCTCCTGGACCCACATATACCAACATTAGCTCACTGCTCCTGGACCCACATATACCAACATTAGCTCACTGCTCCTGGACCCACATATACCAACATTAGCTCACTGCTCCTGGACCCACATATACCAACATTAGCTCACTGCTCCTGGACCCACATATACCAACATTAGCTCACTGCTCCTGGACCCACATATACCAACATTAGCTCACTGCTCCTGGACCCACATATACCAACATTAGCTCACTGCTCCTGGACCCACATATACCAACATTAGCTCACTGCTCCTGGACCCACATATACCAACATTAGCTCACTGCTCCTGGACCCACATATACCAACATTAGCTCACTGCTCCTGGACCCACATATACCAACATTAGCTCACTGCTCCTGGACCCACATATACCAACATTAGCTCACTGCTCCTGGACCCACATATACCAACATTAGCTCACTGCTCCTGGACCCACATATACCAACATTAGCTCACTGCTCCTGGACCCACATATACCAACATTAGCTCACTGCTCCTGGACCCACATATACCAACATTATCTCACTGCTCCTGAACCCACATATACCATCATTACAGTTGGGGGAACACACAACGTTACACGATGTGGGAACGATTGAAATCTGGACGATTATTGCTTGCGCACATTTGTGCTGACGATGGACAAACGTACGTTGTGCGATAACAATCTTGGTTGGTGTAAATTGAGAAATGGCTTAACAATAAAAACGGCCTCGTGTTTAAACATATAAACTTGATTTTCAAGTATATTTCTATATTCTTGCTACATTTATCAGCTGATCTTTCTATCTATATTTGTCAGTTGAAGGGGTGCTATAGACCAAAACGAATGCAAATAACAAATACTTAACGTCCAGTTGTGCTTTCATAACGGTCATACAGTATCACATCTCACCTTAATACAGCTCCTCTTAGAGCCTTTCTCTCCAGATCTTCTGACGGCTCATCAGATCGGCACGGTAACACGTCCCCTTCATTAAATCTTGGTCAAGTCAAGGGACATAATTCACTTCAGACCTACATGTTTGCCTATATATCTGAATATCAGTGTGAAATTATCAGAAGTGCATGTGACCCAATTTATCTCAATGAATGTCAAACCAGTCTATCACATGAAAGCTATCATCTCATAAAAAATATCTCAGTGGTCACAGCAAGAATTTCAAAGACAAGTTTAAAAACCACAGTTAAAAGAAAATTGTTTCTTTAAATGTAAGGTATACGCATTTGGATGAAAGTCTTACAGGACAGGAACACCTAGTGGATAACAATTGTCCGATGTGACCTTGAACAAAAGTCACTATAATGAATTCAAAATAAAATCCCCCCAAATTCTTTCACTTGTACAGATCAGAACAAGGGTATCGTATTAAGTTGGAATTTTATGAAATAATGCAATTGACAAGCATCTTGTTTACTTTGATATAGAGATGCTCATCAGAGTCTACGGAAAAACAAATTGAAACCTGAAGTATTCTTGTAAGATAGATCGTAGACTGCTGAAGGCCCTAGATGTATGGGGAGAAATGGTGTCGGGTGATGACAGGGTGTCTACGACAAGGATACTGTGCAGTCCCATACAGTTCTGAGTCATCTCCGTCCACGTTGAGATCAACGTCCTCCTCCATGGATTTCTTGAGATTCATCACCTGGAACCCAGTACCTGTAACATAGGAGTAAAACAGGTTTTGTCAGCAAGTCATATGTACAAACATCTCACAACACCTGGACCATGTACATGTAACACAGGTGTAAAACAAGTTTTGTCTGCAAGTCATATGTACAAACATCTCACAACACCTGGACCATGTACATGTAACACAGGTGTAAAACAAGTTTTGTCAGCAAGTCATATGTACAAACATCTCACAACACATGGAACCATGTTACTAATAAACAGGTGTAGTCAAAATCAGTGACATGTACAAACATCTCACAACACATGGAACCACGTTACTGTTAAACAGGTGTAGTCAAAATCAGTGACATGTAAAAACATCTCACAACACATGGAACCATGTTACTGTTAAACAGGTGTAGTCAAAATGAGTGACATGTACAAACATCTCACAACACATGGAACCATGTTACTGTTAAACAGGAGTAGTCAAAATCAGTGACATGTACAAACATCTCCCAACACATGGAACCATGTTACTGTTAAACAGGTGTAGTCAAAAGCAGTGACATGTAAAAACATCTCACAACACATGGAACCATGTTACTGCTAAACAGGTCTAGTCAAAATCAGTGACATGTACAAACATCTCACAACACATGGAACCATGTTACTGTTAAACAGGTGTAGTCAAAATCAGTGACATGTAAAAACATCTCACAACACATGGAACCATGTTACTGTTAAATAGGTGTAGTCAAAATCAGTGACATGTACAAATTTGCAAACACCTGGAAACTCAGTTACAAGTTGCATACCAAAGAACACTTGAATAGGATCCCCTACAGAGTAAGATTTTAGAAGGATCTGCTTGTGTTTATGGCTTAAATAGGATCTCCTTTTAGAATTACAGCACAGGACTAAATGCCATGTGCTACTTAACAAATTATACTGTGATTTGTGTTAAAGCTACCCATCTTATGAGTGTTATACTGTTATATGTTCTTATCTATATTTCTGATGTGTTATCAATGAATGAATCACATCTAAGCATGTAGAAAATGTTTCATCCAATCAGAGGCTACAGCGGCCATCTTGAAAACCAAAGTTGGTCATTTGATGTTAATTATTGCCCCCATATCTCACTTCCAGAAAGTATAAACAATGTCAGACCAATATAACTCAAACTGAAGCCTTAAATGTCTTAGCCAATCAGAAGCCCTGGCAGCCAGCCATCATGGATGTCAAATAACAAAGTGAAATATGACTGCACAACTACAGATGCCTATCAGTATTTACGTGAGAATCCAGACTGTAGTTGAATGGGAAAATCATCTGATAAGTTCACAGTTGAAGAAGACAAAGAAAATTCAAAACAAGTAAAAACAATCAGTCCCTCCAACCTTGTTGTGGGGACTTCGTTTCTAGTCATAAGAGATGTCTTATATATATAGTTTCCCCAGTTACCTTTTTGGAGAGGTGAACAAGTAACAGACAGAGAGCATATACACCTGAACAGAATATTAATACAGAATCTCAATTCTAGGAGAAAAAGCTCAAGGTCAAACAAAAAAAGGGTCAGTATTAGTGTTCCTCAGCTGAGGTTGTTAGTTTGGTTTGGGATCAGAATCAGCACCTAATCAAAGCCCCCAATTATCTGACAACACAGACTCTTTGCGTGTGTGTAGGCCGACGGCCATGTTGACTCACTGTCCCAGAGATGTTTGATTTGGTAACGGGAATGCAGCCGCAGTGTTGATCTCCCATGATTGAAATTGTAAATGATGATGATATAATACAGAGATTTGAGACACGGAATACTTTTTTCCAGAATGATAAAAATACTTCGTATTCAAATTGACGAGATATTAAAATGTCTTCGGAGTTGATCCCGATTTGGGTTGACAGATACAGACTTGTCTAAACATTGCCTGTTTGTCTATGACAGTTGATAAGCACACGGCCATTTACTGTAGTCCCCGTCCTAACCTCCCTCACTGTTTCTCCAAGTCCCTGATTTAACTGTTAGCAGTGTCTAATACATTATGGAGCAGTGCCGTATACATTATGGAGGGCTCTGAGAGACAAGATTTATGCATTTTCGTTTTTTGTGTGTGTGTGTGTTTTGAATGATATCAATGCTGCCCATTAATTGCTGCTAACATTCATAATGACCCCGATTTCTTCCATTATATTTCTTTCCTCATTTCATTGGTATTACCTTGAAATACTATTTTAGAGCAAGTGCTTCTGCTACAATTTCTGTTTTGGACACCTGTCCTTTCTCCAAGTAATAAACTACACTGGATTGTCATAACAACTAACAGTACTTAGACTTCATTGTATATAAGTGATGACAACAGTATAGTTGTAGTTAGCAATATCGTAAATTACACACTGGGCATGCATTGTTTTAAAAGACCAGATGGAGAAATTGTTAAACAGACAGTATGTTTTCTGACTTCTCTATTTATTTCTGGTTCTGGTCTTAACAATGTTTGACTGTACACACCTGAGAAGCCGCCCTGTAGCATGGTGGTGGCCCTGATCCTCGTCTGCCCCGCCCACGTATACTCTTCATACGTGTCACCGTCCCCCTCCACATCCACCGGCTCATCCTCAATTTCATTGCGCTACAAAAATACAGACAAATGCTTCAAAGTTAAAGATGACAAGGACTAAATATAGACATTTGGTAGGATACCTACATTTCATATCAGTATGGTTAACAAATACAGTGTATATGGAAAGTTTGGATTTTAATTTAATTTTGACCTTGACATTTTTCTGTTACCCTGACCATTGCTGTGAAAATACAATCAGCTGCCATCGAACATGATCAAAATTGATGCATAACCTTGACGTTAGAAGTATTTTCTATAGGTAACAGGTTGGAACACTGACACAGGCAAAAGAGCAATACTACCCATCAGAGCAAAGTGATCTAATCACCATCATGTTCAAATTATTAACAAACAGCATTTCATCAGGCTATAATTCTTCAAATAAAATTCTGATAGCAATTTCTTTTACCAAGAGTAGTAAAGTAATAATCAATTTCAGTTTGCCTACCTTTTTAAGACACATCTCTACATGTCCATTGAGTTCCTCGGGTGTGCCGCTCAGTCTCTCGTTACAAATCGGACAAACAGTTTCCTCCGTCTTCTTCTTCCTTGTCCTGCTACGACCTGTCAACATTGTAGAAAAAATGAAGCTTTTTCAAATTTTCATATAAACTTGAATTCTATATCAATAATTTTCATACAAACACTATTTAAACAGGTGGTTAAACATATCATGATTTAAACTGCGTTAAAACCTGATTTTTTTCCATCAACATTGGTCTGTGTCAAATGGATGGGAACAGATCTGGAGACAAGTAATAGGTCTATAAAATACATCAGTCTTAAAATTTAGAATTAACACAACATAAAAAATAGGTCTACGTGATACAGATGCTTTATAGACATACTAAGACCAGACCTTTACCAAGAAAATTTTATTTTAATATTTTGTGGTTGATAACAATAAATAACGTTGCTGCCCTACACGCCACTCGGCGTACAGGGCAGTAAGAAGAAGAACAATAAATAAAGAAAATATGTATAATAATAAAAGAAAAAGTACTTGCTATTTTACTGATAGAATATCACACATTATAGGATGAAGTCATTGATTCCTATTGACCGAAAGTGATTTTCATGGTTATTGTCTATGGGTCTACTGTTCAGTTTGAACACTGTAACATTTTTTTTATACTGATGGGGGGGGGGGGGGGGGGGGGGGGGGGGGCATGATGGCTGAGAACAGGTAGGACCTACTACAAGCTGGTGGGACCATTACTGGAGAACAGGTAGGACCTACTTTAACTGATGGGACCATTACTGGAGAACAGGTAGGACCTACTACAAGCTGATGGGACCATTACTGGAGAACAGGTAGGACCTACTACAAGCTGATGGGACCATTACTGGAGAACAGGTAGGACCTACTACAAGCTGATGGGACCATTACTGGAGAACAGGTAGGACCTACTACAAGCTGATGGGACCATTACTGGAGAACAGGTAGGACCTCCTACAAGCTGATGGGACCATTACTGGTGAACAGGTAGGACCTACTACTAACTGATGGGACCATTACTGGAGAACAGGTAGGACCTACTACAAGCTGATGGGACCATTACTGGAGAACAGGTAGGACCTACTACAAGCTGATGGGACCATTACTGGAGAACAGGTAGGACCTACTACAAGCTGATGGGACCATTACTGGAGAACAGGTAGGACCTACTACAAGCTGATGGGACCATTACTGGAGAACAGGTAGGACCTACTACAAGCTGATGGGACCATTACTGGAGAACAGGTAGGACCTACTACAAGCTGATGGGACCATTACTGGAGAACAGGTAGGACCTACTACAAGCTGATGGGACCATTACTGGAGAACAGGTAGGACCTACTACAAGCTGATGGGACCATTACTGGAGAACAGGTAGGACCTACTACAAGCTGATGGGACCATTACTGGAGAACAGGTAGGACCTACTACAAGCTGATGGGACCATTACTGGAGAACAGGTAGGACCTACTACAAGCTGATGGGACCATTACTGGAGAACAGGTAGGACCTACTACAAGCTGATGGGACCATTACTGGAGAACAGGTAGGACCTACTACAAGCTGATGGGACCATTACTGGAGAACAGGTAGGACCTACTTTAACTAATGGGACCATTACTGGAGAACAGGTAGGACCTACTACAAGCTGATGGGACCATTACTGGAGAACAGGTAGGAACTACTTTAACTAATGGGACCATTACTGGAGAACAGGTAGGACCTACTACAAGCTGATGGGACCATTACTGGAGAACAGGTAGGACCTACTTTAACTAATGGGACCATTACTGGAGAACAGGTAGGACCTACTACAAGCTGATGGGACCATTACTGGAGAACAGGTAGGACCTACTTTAACTAATGGGACCATTACTGGAGAACAGGTAGGACCTACTACAAGCTGATGGGACCATTACTGGAGAACAGGTAGGACCTCCTACAAGCTGATGGGACCCCTGGGGTGGGGGATTCATGACATTCCATTGGCATGAAAACAACATAGATTGGGTCATCTACCCAGAATTGTATTGCTTCACTACTATAGTTACATGGAGCAAAGTAGACTATCAGATAGACTGGCTACCAGAGATGTTGGGTTAGCCATGCTGTAGAGTTGTATCACAGATGTGTGTAGGCTACCAGAGAGCTGTTGGGTTAGCCATGCTGTAGAGTTGTATCACAGATGTGTGTAGGCTACCAGAGAGATGTTGGGTAAGCCATGCTGTAGAGTTGTATCACAGATGTGTGTAGGCTACCAGAGAGATGTTGGGTTAGCCATGCTGTAGAGTTGTATCACAGATGTGTGTAGGCTACCAGAGAGATGTTGGGTTAGCCATGCTGTAGAGTTGTATCACAGATGTGTGTAGGCTACCAGAGAGATGTTGGGTTAGCCATGCTGTAGAGTTGTATCACAGATGTGTGTAGGCTACCAGAGAGATGTTGGGTTAGCCATGCTGTAGAGTTGTATCACAGATGTGTGTAGGCTACCAGAGAGATGTTGGGTTAGCCATGCTGTAGAGTTGTATCACAGATGTGTGTAGGCTACCAGAGAGATGTTGGGTTAGCCATGCTGTAGAGTTGTATCACAGATGTGTGTAGGCTACCAGAGAGATGTTGGGTTAGCCATGCTGTAGAGTTGTATCACAGATGTGTGTAGGCTACCAGAGAGATGTTGGGTTAGCCATGCTGTAGAGTTGTATCACAGATGTGTGTAGGCTACCAGAGAGATGTTGGGTTAGCCATGCTGTAGAGTTGTATCACAGATGTGTGTAGGCTACCAGAGAGATGTTGGGTTAGCCATGCTGTAGAGTTGTATCACAGATGTGTGTAGGCTACCAGAGAGATGTTGGGTTAGCCATGCTGTAGAGTTGTATCACAGATGTGTGTAGGCTACCAGAGAGATGTTGGGTTAGCCATGCTGTAGAGTTGTATCACAGATGTGTGTAGGCTACCAGAGAGATGTTGGGTTAGCCATGCTGTAGAGTTGTATCACAGATGTGTGTAGGCTACCAGAGAGATGTTGGGTTAGCCATGCTGTAGAGTTGTATCACAGATGTGTGTAGGCTACCAGAGAGATGTTGGGTTAGCCATGCTGTAGAGTTGTATCACAGATGTGTGTAGGCTACCAGAGAGATGTTGGGTTAGCCATGCTGTAGAGTTGTATCACAGATGTGTGTAGGCTACCAGAGAGATGTTGGGTTAGCCATGCTGTAGAGTTGTATCACAGATGTGTGTAGGCTACCAGAGAGATGTTGGGTTAGCCATGCTGTAGAGTTGTATCACAGATGTGTGTAGGCTACCAGAGAGATGTTGGGTTAGCCATGCTGTAGAGTTGTATCACAGATGTGTGTAGGCTACCAGAGAGATGTTGGGTTAGCCATGCTGTAGAGTTGTATCACAGATGTGTGTAGGCTACCAGAGAGATGTTGGGTTAGCCATGCTGTAGAGTTGTATCACAGATGTGTGTAGGCTACCAGAGAGATGTTGGGTTAGCCATGCTGTAGAGTTGTATCACAGATGTGTGTAGGCTACCAGAGAGATGTTGGGTTAGCCATGCTGTAGAGTTGTATCACAGATGTGTGTAGGCTACCAGAGAGATGTTGGGTTAGCCATGCTGTAGAGTTGTATCACAGATGTGTGTAGGCTATCAGAGAGATGTTGGGTTAGCCATGCTGTAGAGTTGTATCACAGATGTGTGTAGGCTACCAGAGAGATGTTGGGTTAGCCATGCTGTAGAGTTGTATCACAGATGTGTGTAGGCTACCAGAGAGATGTTGGGTTAGCCATGCTGTAGAGTTGTATCACAGATGTGTGTAGGCTACCAGAGAGATGTTGGGTTAGCCATGCTGTAGAGTTGTATCACAGATGTGTGTAGGCTACCAGAGAGATGTTGGGTTAGCCATGCTGTAGAGTTGTATCACAGATGTGTGTAGGCTACCAGAGAGATGTTGGGTTAGCCATGCTGTAGAGTTGTATCACAGATGTGTGTAGGCTACCAGAGAGATGTTGGGTTAGCCATGCTGTAGAGTTGTATCACAGATGTGTGTAGGCTACCAGAGAGATGTTGGGTTAGCCATGCTGTAGAGTTGTATCACAGATGTGTGTAGGCTACCAGAGAGATGTTGGGTTAGCCATGCTGTAGAGTTGTATCACAGATGTGTGTAGGCTACCAGAGAGATGTTGGGTTAGCCATGCTGTAGAGTTGTATCACAGATGTGTGTAGGCTACCAGAGAGATGTTGGGTTAGCCATGCTGTAGAGTTGTATCACAGATGTGTGTAGGCTACCAGAGAGATGTTGGGTTAGCCATGCTGTAGAGTTGTATCACAGATGTGTGTAGGCTACCAGAGAGATGTTGGGTTAGCCATGCTGTAGAGTTGTATCACAGATGTGTGTAGGCTACCAGAGAGATGTTGGGTTAGCCATGCTGTAGAGTTGTATCACAGATGTGTGTAGGCTACCAGAGAGATGTTGGGTTAGCCATGCTGTAGAGTTGTATCACAGATGTGTGTAGGCTACCAGAGAGATGTTGGGTTAGCCATGCTGTAGAGTTGTATCACAGATGTGTGTAGGCTACCAGAGAGATGTTGGGTTAGCCATGCTGTAGAGTTGTATCACAGATGTGTGTAGGCTACCAGAGAGATGTTGGGTTAGCCATGCTGTAGAGTTGTATCACAGATGTGTGTAGGCTACCAGAGAGATGTTGGGTTAGCCATGCTGTAGAGTTGTATCACAGATGTGTGTAGGCTACCAGAGAGATGTTGGGTTAGCCATGCTGTAGAGTTGTATCACAGATGTGTGTAGGCTACCAGAGAGATGTTGGGTTAGCCATGCTGTAGAGTTGTATCACAGATGTGTGTAGGCTACCAGAGAGATGTTGGGTTAGCCATGCTGTAGAGTTGTATCACAGATGTGTGTAGGCTACCAGAGAGATGTTGGGTTAGCCATGCTGTAGAGTTGTATCACAGATGTGTGTAGGCTACCAGAGAGATGTTGGGTTAGCCATGCTGTAGAGTTGTATCACAGATGTGTGTAGGCTACCAGAGAGATGTTGGGTTAGCCAT